TCTGTGCCCTCTTGTCCTGCTGCTAATATACAATAATGCTTATATACATGAAATACTCATATGCTGAGAAAAGCTGGCAAAGAGCTACTCACAGACTTGTGTCTCTGAGTAGCAGGTACTGGTTTATTCAGCACTGGAAACAAGGGGGATCACTCCACCAAACCTGTGCAAACCGGGAGAAAAACTTCACCGTTCATAAACATTAAATGCTCATAGATATTTGTTATTTCCTCACACCTTCACACGTTATTGCCTCAGCACCCTCCCAGGCAGGAATTCCTTCCCAATATGCAATCTAAACCCCAGTTTGAAGCCATTCTCCCTCCTTGAAGAGTCCTTGCCCATATGTCTCTGTGTCCCTCCCTTGAAGCACCAGAGGGAAATACCTCCCTCACCCTCCCACATTTGCTTACTAACCCCCCAAATTACCACACACTGACCAAACCAACCTCCCAGCAATGGAAGGGAAAAGCTTCTTTTATTTCCATGACAAGCATTTGTAACAAAGTTCCAAGCACAATGTGTTTCATATCCTGGAAGCCCCAGGACATTGCACCCCCACTCAGGGCACCCGACCCTCGCCCGTCCCGGCCCTCAGACCTGTATTCCCATTCCTGCAATCCTGCTTTGCAAGGGAAACAATCCATCCCAGGCACGTGTAGGAAATGCCATGAAAGCCAGAAAAATGGGTGGATTATTATTCCTTCTGATCAGTGGTCCCATGCAACTTTGCAGATCTGACCTCTAACCAGCTGTCACCTCTACCCAAGCCTGGTAAAAACAAGAAAATTGCTACTCTATCTCTTTGCAAATGAACAGAAAATGTCCAAAAAAGAGGAAATAAAACCAGTCCCCAAGCCACGAGGAACTTGAATTTCAATTGCAGAACCAGGTGATGTACAGGTTAAACCTTCCCCATCCTACTTGTGAGAAACATCTGAGCATCTGCATTCACCAGCTCAACTCATGTGACAGGAAAACATTGCCCAGATCTAAACCTGCCACAGAAATAACTCCAAATGACCACGATGGGATGGTAAATATTCTCCGTACAGATGCATCTAATTGATGTTGGAATGAACTGGTTTCCTTCTGCAGGACACTGCAGCCTTTTCCACAGAGCCCCTTGTCTCGCTGGTTCTCTTTCACACCAAAAATGAAGTATTAAAAACGCATCATGTCCCCTAATTTTAGCCCAAAGTGGCTATGGCTGCTTAATTTACAGCACGTGTTGCAAATCTGAAGTCACTTAACACTCAGTACCAATTAAAAACAGCTAATGACTTGTAAATACGAAGTAGCTGACAGTGAAATAACTAATGATCTGGAACAAGAAATTGGCTGGCAGTGGTTTGTGTGTTTACAAATTAGTATTTCTGCATGGAATATATGCAGGAAAGGAGTCAAAGGACTTCTGCAAGGAGAATATCCATTACCTTCATGTCTCCATTCTTCTGGAATAAACAGGGATTGCATTTATCTGACAACAGTGACAGAGCAGCTAGTCCAGCTACTGACACCCTTCCTTCACTACTGTTTGCCTGTTCCTCTAGTGTCAATTCTCTGTTAGTATTAAAGCATATTTGGATAGCACTAAAAGGCAGTTTGTTGAAGTTAAATGCCAATGACTATTATGCTCCTGGGACTTTGTTATTTCTTCCCATGTCTTTATGGGCACAAATCCTGCAGCACTTACTGTGTTTATCCCTAACCTTTGCTGTCCTGCACTCTATGATATTCCAAAACAGTCTGAAACACCAGGCCACAATTTTAAGGTGCTTTAACCTCACCTCTGCAGTGAGGCCTTGCACTCTAAAGCCCAATTTATTACAGTCCTGGGGTTTGTTTCCAAGGTTTTCTGTGCACAGCCTGTAAACTTCCATGCAAATGATGCACTCTGTGCATTGATCATGGTTTGAGATGGATGATGTGTGTGAAAGCAACTGTCTCCTTTTAATAACTGCTCTTGACATGTGGTTCTGCCCTCCAAAATCTAAGCACATGTAATAACCTTTGGCTGCTTTTCACTTCAGTTACCATCTGCATTCAAAAATCACGAGTGATGATGATATTTCACAATTATCACAACTTATTGCAGCATTTCCACACCTATAAAGGCCTCCAGGACTGAGTAACTCCATGGGAATGGGAATGGGAATGGCAGGACTCAATATTCTGTGAGTGAACGTATTTTATGGTGGGAATTAAACCAGAGAGATGGTTATAGTGATTGTAAACATTCTCATCTTTCCCTTCCATATAATAACATGAAATAAAGTAGCCATAAAGTGCTCTGGAAGGCTAAATAACCCAGAAGTGCAGAGTGGGACTGAGAAACCTGCTCCCATATTTTCCCCATTTTAAATATAGCAGTAAGAGGGGGGAAAAAATCAGAACATTTGTCTTTAATACCCATCAAAACTTGAAAACAATTAAGTCTGCAGAATTTGCACAGAGCGTGGCTTTTGAGCAACCTACTAAATGAACTATTTGGTTCTGTTTAGCTACTAGAAGGTTTATTTATTGCCTGTATACTGCATGCAAATACTAAAAGCAGCCTCGGTGTGTGCACCAGCCCCCTCAGAATCATAGCAGGACTTGTCAAATCCATGCCTTGAAACACTGTGAGCAACACCAAGAGCAGCCAGGTTGGTAAAACCACTTGATAGCTTGGGGGTAGTTGCTCTTGAAGCATTCAGTGGTCACATATTCAGACTCTGAACCATAGAAGGCAGCAAATTTTAAGTGGCAGATGAGGTTCCTCAGCAGTAACCTGGTTTCAACCAACCAGAAACCCATCCCTCAGAAGGGATCCATCAACACCTGCAAGAGCTGGTGACACCACAACAAAGCCCATTCCCTCCAGACCCGACCCAGCTCAGGAGTCACAATTATCAGGGATTACTGGAGCAAACAAATCCTGCAGGGCTGGGCTGAAAACTGTGCCTTACTCTTCAGCGTGTCGCTCTGCACAACTGGCTTCTCTGCTTTCTTCTGTGAGAGCATCTTTTACTGCTGTGCTTTGGATTTGTGTGTGTGAAGATGGTTCATCCTCTGGCTCCCCTTTGCCCCCACCAGCCTCTGCATCTCCTGGGACCTTTGGAGTGGAGTTGACCTGGCCCTGCTGTGGCACCAAAGGCAGTGGCTCCAGCAGTCCTGTTCCTGGGTTTTCTGTATCCAGAATGGGCACTTGGGTTGTGTCTGTGTTTCCAGCAGGATCATGGAAGCAGGATCCTGGCTCAGCATGGCTGTTCCCTGCTCGTTTCCAGCAGGATCATGGAAGCTCTGTGGCCCTACCTCTCCTGGCTCAGCATGGCTGTTCCCTGCTGCTCCTTCCTCCCTGTCTGACCTGGTGCTCTCCCACACCCCTGCAGTGTGCTCCTCTGGCTGTAAGCTGTCCCTCCTGCAGCTTCCCACACCCGTGTACCACACACTCTGCTCCACCTCCACCTCTGCTTTCGCCTCCTGAGGTGGGTCTGGGCCTTCCACCAGCCACTCTGCCTGTGCCACGCTGCAGGGCCCCTTGGACACCCTCTCTAGGTCTGTGCCATCTGCCCCCAGACTAGATGGAGATGTTTGTTCCTCCTGGAGCTCCACACCTCCTGCTGCAGCTTTATCTGGCATGGTCTGGATCACCTGAGTGTCTGCCACAGCCAATTGGCTCAACTCACTGTTCCCTCTATTGTCCTCCTGCAACTTCAGTATCTCAGCCTCACACACCTCCATGATGTTCTCAGCTGGAGTATCTGCTGGAACCTCAACCACCATCATCAGCAAACTCCTTATCTCGTTCACATCATCAGGGGATTTACAACTCTTTTCTTCTGACTTGCTTTCTTCTTCAGGACTATCCCCCCCAAACCCTCCTCTCCCTGTGTTTTCATCCTGGGAAACAGCCCTTGTCCCAGCACTCCCTCCTTGGTCATTCCTTGCTTTGTTGCTATCCTCTCCAAACTCTGCTCCTATTGCCTTTTCACCCTGAGATAATTTCTCCATCATTTCTTTTTCTACCGTGATTTTCTTTTCAGCAATCCCTAGAACCTCTGCTTCTGTTGCCCTCTCAGGTGGGGGACTCAGCTTTATCTCAGAAACTTCATCCTGTGCTCTGCTTTCCTTTTCAGTGCCACCAACAAACGCAGCATCCACTGCCACTTGACTCTCCGAAATCACCTTTTCCTCTGTGCCTCCTTCAGGTGCCTTCAGTTCTTTTTTAGGGCTGGCTCCAACATTTTGCACTGCAGTTTCAGTCCCAGCAGCTTGTTGTGTCTCGTGCCCTTTCTCAGTGTTCACTCCACACTCTGCTTCATGCTCCAACGTGCTTTTCCCCTCTGCACCTCTGTGTTTTGTGTGGGTAGCTGGAGGGGACTCAGCACTGTCTGTAACAACCACAGCTTCCCTGTCGCTGGGCTGATCCCCAGCTGCAGTGGGAGCAGGGACAGCCTCTTTGGCTGATGGCTTTCCCTCATCACCACCCTTCTCCCAGGCAATTCTTGCTGTGAGGACGAGCGTTTCGTCGCTGTGGCTCTCGGTGTCGGACACCTCAGCTCGGGCTGCACAGGGTTTCTTGGCAGGAGTGGTCTGTGCTGACCCTGAGGGTGTCCTCAGCTCTGTCAAGCTGGACACACTTTCACAGGGCACATTCAGGTTGTCTTCAAAAAGGTTGTGCTTCTTCAGAACAGCAGCTTCCTTTATCACTGGAGAAACCACAAAGAACAAACTGTTGTGGAAACACTGATAGAAGGATGTGAAGAGAGTACAGTGTTTCCTTGAGTTTACCTTGCACATTTTGATATCACAAACAGTAATCTGAATTTGCAGTGCTTTTAGCCCACATTTCTGGGGCTAAGGATTTAATTTGCTTTGATAAGTGGCATTTTGATATTGACCTGAGCATTTCTGAAGCAGAAAACTACCAGGGGACTCAGTGTACAAATGCTTCTGTGTAGGATTTACACTGAAGATGTCAACAAAAGTGTGCTCATTACATGAGTTATTGGACAGATAATGTGAATAAAAGTGTGCTCATTACCTTAATCATTATACTGATAATGTAAGTAAAAGTGGGCTCATTATATTAACCACTGCACTGATATTTTTGAACAGCAGTGCCTGAGGTCTGTGAAAACTTACCAGGCACTACGTCTGCTTACCCTTCTTCTAGACAGACAGGCAGAACCAGAGAGATGCAAGTATTTTGTAAGTATTTCTATAGATAATATTTAGTAAGAATAGTTTAGTTTTCTGGCACAAAAGCAGAGAGCTCTGCAGGGAGTACTGCAGTGGCATCATGAGGTACTGGAAACTGCATCTAGCAGTTTGTCTCACGTGGGGAAATTAATTTTTCCTGCCGTTAGGCTTTGCAATTGTCCTAGTCTTGCTATGCCATAGTCTTGCCATTTAGTCATCCTGAAGTCTTGTGCAAATAAGGGCAGAATTTCCCTGCTTGGCCCAGGGAATCTAGATAAAATGAAGTTGGTATGATTACATTTTGTCCAAAAAAGGCTTGTGTCAAGGTCTCTGTTTGAGTGTCCCAGGTTTAGTGAAGTTGCCCTGTTAACTCAGACTTGGACCACCAGTCCTGGGGAAGGTGAGACCTAGGTGTGGAACAGCCAGGTGAGGACTCTGGGAAGCTCTGAAGCACAAGCTCATGGGCCAATGCCCACAGTGTTACTAGAGTCTTAGAATCACAGGATGGTTTGGGTGGGAAGGGACCTTAAAACTCATCCCATCCCACCCCTGCCATGGGCAGGGACATCTCCCACCAGCCCAGGCTGCTCCAAGCCCATCCAGCCTGGCCTGGAACACTCCCAGGGATGGAGCAGCCACAGCTGCTCTGGATAACTTGTGCCAGAGCCTCAGCACCTCACAGTGTTACTGTCACCTCAACAATGTTCTCACCTTTCAGGGCTTCCTCAAGCAGTGTCTGATGTAAAATCTCTTCATACACGTTCTCTACTTGGATCACACTAGTGTAATCTGCAAAAATGAACTGCTCGAACTTCTGCAGCTCCTGTGCAGGTAGAGAAGAGAGGAACAGATACAGACCAGTGAGAGATCCTGAGAGTCCTGCAGCAACCAAACACCTTGGAGATGCCACAGAGCAGGTCTTGCAGCGCCATGACAGCTCTGGAGGTGAACTGTTTGAGCTGTGACTCAATGAACTACGTATGTCCACGATTTACTGTGTACTTACCAAACACTATTCCTGCAGTACAAGCACTACACATCATTGCCACCTCAAGTACACAGCTGCTGAGGAAATGCCTCCCTAACTTGTTTGTCCAAGGAGGCAAATCCACAGTGCATGGGAGACACAGGGTTTGGTTTTGTTTTTCTAATAGGTGTGTAGCACTCTCAGCTCACTGATTTATATGCAATAGGCTGCCTAGACAATAACTGAATCATGAAACAGCTGCTTGGTGGTCTATAAAAAAGTAAATTAAGTGACATCTGCCCAATTCTAGAAGAGGCACCTACATAAAAACACCTGGAGGTTTTCATGGGAAAGGTCAGCACTTGGCTGGGCATATCAGCTGTGCTTCACTTTTGCTTCCAGAGCTGGCTGCTCCCTTCTGCAGAGGCACAGACACAGGAGGTGTGTGGGGAACCACTCAGAAAGGGCTTGTGGGAAGTTTGCACAACCACCACTTCTTCCATCCTGTGTGACAGAGACAGGAGGTGTCTCCACATATCTTCACGGTGATGTCCCCATGTATGGACACCCTGTCCTGAAGGCACTGCTGACACTCTCAGAGTGACTATTATCTTGGGAATAGTAAGGACAACAGAAGAGAGTGTTTTTATCACACAATCACAGAATCCTCAAGGCTGGAGGATCAAGTCCAACCATTAACCTGCCACATACATTTTAAATATATTCCTGAAAGTTGTGAGTTTTAATGATCCCCAATCCAAGACTCACAAGGATAACTTGGGAAAACATTTGGTTTAAAGCTTGTTTTTCCAACTGGAACAAGCTGGAGAGCATCAACAAGAGCACCTAGTGTGGGTGAGAGCTTACAGCCCCTGGGAACTGGTGAACATCAGTGGAAGCAGCAGAAGGAAGGGGATGGGATGGCTGAGGGCAGTCACCCTTCAGCAGGCACAGTGACAGTGCTCACACACCCATGGGCTTCACGAAGGGTTCAGACTATTTATTCTGAGCCAAGGTGGGCAGCATTCCAACCCCTGGTGCTGCCACACTGATAACATCTAACATCTCCACCAAACTCTGGCAGCCACATTTGCTGACTGCTCACCTACCCTGTATGAGTAAGGGCAGCAGAGATCATCTCTGGGTGATTATTCCCTTACTGTTGACACAACTATTTCCATTTAAAGCCACTGAAACAAGACCATTGCCTGTCTCTTGCTTGGGGAACGAACACAAGGACAAGCTCATCACCTCTACAACTCCCTGACAGGAGGTTGGAGTCAGGTGGGGGTTGGTCTCTTCTCCCAGGCAACAGCAGCAGGACAAGAGGGCACAGACTCAAGCTCTGCCAGGGGAGGGTTAGGTTGGAGATTAGGAAGAGATTTTTTCGGGAGAGAGTGCTCAGGCATTGGAATGTGCTGCCCAGGGAGGTGGTGGATTCCCCATCCCTGGAGGTTTTCAAGCTGAGACTGGATGTGGCACTTAGTGCCATGGGCTAGTGACCATGGGAGGGTTGGACTCAATGACCTTTGAGATCTCTTCCAACCAGGCTGATTCTATGATTCTATGACCTACATCCTAACTCTCAAGAGGAGCCCAGTTCGAGGGGACTTTGGATCTCTAGGGAAGAAACGAGCCAGGGATGGGCCAAGGCCTGCAGCTATCTTTGAGAAAGCATGTTGGACATACAGTTTCCCTGTTTCCTGAGTGCTCCACACCTACCCCATCCATGAACTGGCCAACCCAAGTGTCACTTGGCCGAGCTGGCAGCCAATCTGCACAACTCTCTCAGAGAAAACAGCTGTACTGCCAAGCTGTTCATCCCTCCCTGCCTGTTATTATTGTCTTGGTTTGTATTTAATCACAGAAACCTACTGGTTTGCACGTTGAAGCCAATGCCTTCTGCATTGTGGGCAAGGTAATCTGTACCAGAGCTTCCTGGAAGATCTTCTTCCGGATGGTGCTGCTGTCGTAGTCGTATTGCTGTGAGAACACACAAAGCAAGCCCAAACGGGTTTGGGGTTATTCATCTCTCACACCAGGAACTGGTTCTTGCTGTCCTGTAACTGGGGCATCACAGGTGCACCCAGGGAGCTGAACTGCCAGGCAGGTTATTCCAGCTGTCACAAAACCACCCTAAAATCGAGTTTTCTGGCATTTCTTTCCCTTCTTTTCCTAGAGGCTAGAAACAGCTCCTGATTGCCCTCCCAAGGTGCTTCAGCACTGCCTTTCCCAAGAGTAATGAATCCTAGGGAAAGGCTAATTCTAAAGTTAATAGAAAATTATCTGTCTAGATCCACAGCATCATAATAATCTGACTTACCTGCAATGAAAGGGAGTGCACATACAGATACTTTTGTGTCTGCCCAGAACTAGGTTTTACCCCCCAAAATGAACAGCTTCACTACATGCCACCAAATCAGCACTTCCAGCTGAATGGGAAGAGACATCTTCTCCCAAATACTGAGATAAATTCATATAGAATACACTCTGCTGCCAAAAAAGGCAGAGCCCAAGGTCTTCCCGTGCAAATGTGCTGCACCACATTTACCTTCAGCACTCTCAGCTTGACTTTTTCCATGGTTGTTGCCACTTTGGCCGAGTCTGCCTGGTGACTTGGGGAGAACAACTGCTCAAAGGTATAAACTGCATTTTCCATCAGCTGAAAACAGTAAATAAAAGAATCTGTTAGAGGCCAGTAACAGAAAATTCCTGTTATGTAGGAAACGTGAGAAATGTAATTGCTAATTGAAATTATGTCTCGGAGAAGGTGAAACAGAGGAGGAATTACAGGCTTAAAATCAGTGCATATTTTAAGTACTTTAAGTGATCATGGAAGGGGAAAAAAAGCCTTGTCTAGCTTAGATTCCATCTGAATCTAAATTTAAACTCACATTTAGAAGACTGGGAAACCCAAAGGAAGATTATCTAACACAAGAGAGTAAGAAAATGAAACTTCCTCAATGTCTACCTCGAGTTTACAAGGTCAATACCACAAATCTGCTCATGTCACTAAACTGTTCTATCAGCAAACAGAGTAGAATAACTTTTATGATCCTAAAGTTTTCTGCTGCATTCCAGTTCTCTGCAAGGTAATATGCACAGATAAATACAGAAAATGAAGCCTTGGTCTCATTATCTGCTATCAGAGCCTTATTGTCCAGACTGATCTCCTGTCACCACCCAAGCTGATGGTGGCACAGCCAAACAGCAGAACTGATTATCCACAGATAGAGGCTACAGGCAAAACTCATTACCCCTAATCAGAATACTCCCATTGACTCCTACCATTAATCAGCAATAATAGTAATAATTAACACTGAAGGTGTTTTTTGAACCAATTGATCAGTAGCTTTCCTTATAATACACATAATAATCAGCAATAATTTCTGTTGTTCTGTTCTGAATTAAGTTGGCACTTAACCTTATTTTCAGGTTATTGTTATATTAAACCTCATGCTCTGAAAAGATACTTCACACAAACAGTTCTGCGAGTGGTAATTAGGTCTGGTGAATGAGGTTTTGCCCCTTTTTTTTTAGCTGTTTCCATTCAAATGTTAAGACACTCCTGCTGGAGAAGTGCAGGGAGATGCACAGGGACTGTCCGTTCATGCCAGTTGAGCACTGTGCTCCAAATTTCCTGAGCTTGGCCACTAGAGGATGCCAAGCCCCAAGCCAAGGAATCCTGCTCAGCCTCCCCCGAGTCAGCTCAGCCAAATGCTCCTTTTTTTGTTAAGTCTACACGAATATAGACACGTCTGTCCTTAGTGGTCGATACAACTCATGTCCATGGACACAAAGTGAAGCTACTCCTTATTTTCAAGAGACAAACATCACCCTTAGAAAGAGAGAGAACAGCAACTTCTGCTGTAATTTAACTTGTTTCCTGTGAATTTGGACTCATTTGACTGTTTAGAAATAAAACACCACTTGGTTATCTGGGATTTAATTTCTGTCTACTTCTTTGTCCTGACTCATGGCCTTCACTTCCTGAAAGACACTTGATCTGGCAGCACTTTGGCATGGTCCCCCTGAAAGACCCAGAACTTCTGCAGAATTCCTTGGCTGCTGAGCATGGCTGTGCTTAGCAAAACTCTTTCTTTTAGGAAAACCCCATCCCAGCACTGTGCTAGACACTCATTTTCCATATTCATAACTCCCACTCCACAGATCTGGACTAGCTCCATAGATTACTGACTAGATTATTTAGTTTCTCAGCTACAGATGAAAATCACAGAATTCAACTTAGAGCCACAAGGCCAAATGTGCCTTGTGATTTGGCAATTGCAAGAAGTCTCCTGGCCAGCTCCTAAGAGACTTCTGGCCAAGCATCCAGAGGAAATAAAAGCAAAGCAGAATTGTAGCCTATACCAATACACACAAGAGGGGAAAAAGAATTCATCTTTCATCTGAGATGATGTAGTTACTCCAACTAGTCCCCTGAAAAGTGGAGCTGGATAAAGCACCCACATGCAGCTACGTCCTGAGACATCATCTGTCTCCAAGTCCTTGCCAGTTCCCACCATGAGTTGCTTTACTCTATATTAATGAGACAATAATCTCCCAAGGAGGAGACATTCCATTTTGGTAAAACATATTTCAGACCCTCCCTGAGAAATCCACCCTTGAGCCTGGAAATTGGGTGGATTTTAGCCACCTCACTGGTTACAAGCACAACTTTCTCAGGTGCTGAGACACCTCTGGGAATTTGGAACATGAAAGTTCATGGGAAGAGCCAATCCATCCAAAATTTTTGTGCCTTGCTGAAAGACTCACACACACAGCCTCACAAATAGAAATCTCAAGCAGCTTCTGGCTGATTTTGTCAGGTTTTATTATCTGTACTTTGAGAGATACTCTGGGGCTCCTGCACAGCTTTTTATCGAGATCTTCAAGATCTTCTTTTATCAAGATGTTCTAATCAACTTTGAAGCAGGTTAGCAGGACAGACCTAACCTGTTCTCCTGGGAGGGAAAACTAGATCTCACAGTACCTCTTGCATGAAGTTCTGTGTCCTCTGAATCACAAAATCGATGTGGTAGACCTTGAAACGACTCTTGAGGTCCTGCAGGAGCTCCTGGAGGAGGTTCACTTTCAGATAGCAGGGCTCCATTTTCACAGAGTCAAAGGGCAGGTTCATGAGCTGATCCACGTTCTGCATTCCAGGGCAGGAAGAACAGGTTTGGAGAGAAAGCAACCACAGGTGAATTTTTAACAGAGAATGTAGCAGTGGCCTCAAACCAAATTGTGGTACCTCCACTCTAGTGGCACAAGTACCACGAGACTTTGTAAATGACAAAACCAAGTGCTAACATACTTCCAGCTGGGAAAGCAAACACTGCTGTCAGCCAGGTTCAAATTCCTCATGCTAACAGCAAGACTCCAAATATCTTTTTACCTTACCTCCTTTAGCTTTGTCATATCATTGTTCTTCTGGAAGTCCTGGATGATTTCATTGACCTCTTTATCAAAGAGCGAGCGCACTTCGGCGAATCCAGAGCTCACTGGGCCCATGAGCTCCTCCAGGATGGAGGTGAGAAAGGGCTGGATGCTTTCTGTGCAGCACTTCTGGGCAGGCTCAGAGACAGTGGCTGGAGGGGCACAGTGGTTGCATTTAGAGATAGAGTGAAAAGAGTAATCAGAACTCATCTACTTTCCAATGAAGTAAATGAATCCGTATTCTTCCCTAGAGTCACATCTCCATGAGGAGATGAGGGTGATGAAAGGAAGGTCACAGTTTTATGAGGGACATTTCCCTATGCCTCACCTAAGCAAACACTGCAGCTTGGGGCACTGTGAGAGCAGAGCAAAGGCAGCTCTAAGCACAGCTTACCATTTTTTATGTATTTCATAGTTTCATAGATTGTTAAGGGGTTGGGATGGAGCTTAGGGATCATCCAGCCCCAAGCCCTGCCCTGGGCAGGGACACCTCCCACCAGAGCAGGTTGCTCCAGGCTGGCTGTGAACACTGCCAGGGTTGGGGCAGCCACAGCCTCCCTGGGCACCCTGGGACAGGGTCTCACCACCAGAACAGGAAAAAACTTCTTCCTGATATCTAATCTAAATTTCCCTCTTTCCATTTCTCCCCATTACTCCCTGTCCTGTCCCTGCAGCTCCTAACAAACTAGCATTTGCTGGCTTAAGCAACACCAGTAATGTTTTGCTTGCTTTTTACACTCATTTTTACATTCACAGCAACCTTATGATCACTTCACATTAGTTTAAACCCACCTAAGAAGATTTTTGGCTCAAGGATTCTTTGGTAGCCTTTGAATTTGTCACCTAACCAGAACCTGTTTCTGTGGTGCATTCCTAGACATCAGGTCAAAACCACCACACTTGTAATTCTACTTTTGTGACCTCTATCTTCACTACCTAAGGCTGCCCAAAGGAAAATGAAAGTACAATGAACAGCTCTAACCAGGCTCCTCAAAACCTGTCAGCTTCAACTTGAGAAAAACTGGTGTTTTCACAGACCCAGCAGTCACAGGTATCAGTTCCCATCAATGGCAGCAGAGGCCCAAAGCATTTCTTTTCTCCACATTAACAGCAGCCACAGGTCTCAGTTCCCATCAATGGCAGCAGAAGCCCAAAGCATTTCTTTTCTCCACATTAGTGTCTCCAGTTGGGTTTTTTAAAACACATGAGGATTGCAAAACAATGACATCTGGCAATTTAAGCAACACAATGGGAAACATGAAAAAATTGCTCCAGAGCTCAGCTGTTCCTCTACTAACCTTTGATTTTTCCAGCTAAGAAGTTCTTGGAGTTCAGAATCTGATCCATGTCTGAACGAATGGTTCCTTCAAGAGTTTTTGCAAATTCTCTGCATTCTTCTTTCAAGGTACTTAGTCCTTCTGCCACCTGCTGCTGCACTAAGCTGTAAGTTTCTTCTACAATCTAAACCAAGATGAAGAAGCACAGATCAGAACCAGCAGCCACAGCTGCTGTGAGGAACAGCCTCTCAGCAAGCACCAGCACTCACACCAAACCAGGCTCGCTTCCTGTCGTTCCTCTTCCCCTTCATCTTAGGCAGGATCATGGTCTGGAGGTTAGGCAGGAGCTCCTCCATCACCAGGTTGCTCAGGATCTGTAAGGGCAGAAGATCCAAATGACATGTTCACACCTTGCTCTCCATCTGAGAGCTGAGCACACACTTCACCAACCTCAGATACATACACAGTGGCTTAGCCATCCCAAGTTGCCAGGACTGGGCTTAAAATATTAGCTACACCTGAGGGAAGCTCCATGCATTTCATCCCAAGCAATTAGCACTGAAAACTTTGAGAGGCCACACAACAATCAACAACACGTGAACACATTCCAGCAGAATCTGCTCCATGCCCGTGCCTGGCACAGAGGTGAGACTGCCACCAACTGTAGTTCCCTGGGTCTTCCACTCTGCCCTTGTTAAAAGTGGGGTTATATTTCCCTTTATCCAGTCCTCAGGGTCTTCACCTCACTGCCATGGTTTCTCAAAAGTGATGGATAGTGGCTTAGCAACTTGATCTGCCACAGATGGATCTCACTGGGTGCACACTGAGGTTCCCTGGATGGTCTCAAACCTGAGCCTCTCCTCCAGTGGCTCAGGGTCTCCATTCTCCCAGGCCCTGCATTTGCCTTTCCCCACTTGGGCAGTGTGGCTGGAGCACTTGGTGTTGGAGCCTACAGCACCTGATATTCCCAGGCTGTCTCCCATCCAAGTACTAACCAGGCCCAGCCCTGTTAGCTTCCAAGGTCAGATGGGATCTTGGACACCCTAAAGTGTCAAAGGGACCTCTGCACATCAAGAATTCAGGACGGATGTAGGAAAACTGAGGAAAAGGTATCACTGTCCCATTAACTGATTATTCCTGCATTGTTGGTCTCTCATGCTGTATCCTGCTAAACTGGCAGTGAGAACTTTCACCCCTCAGGCACATCTTCACTTTGAAACAGGGCTCAGTGGTTGGAGAAGAGATGCATCAGCCTCTCTGATCCCAGTAGCTAACTGCAATCTGGCCTGGCAGATGGTTCCCATTAGAAAGGAAAGACACTGGACTGGGAATGCAGCTAATACCAGTTTGGGGAGTGGTCCACAGGCTGGCAAGCAAGGCTGCTATTCAGAGGACCTCGATGGGCTCAAGAAGTGGGTGGACAAAAACCTCACAAATATACCTCTTATATACCCATCCCATGCAATACACTGTTACTGTAGCTTCATTTAACTTAAGTACTAATGGATTATGTCACAGCAACACTTCAGATTCAGCTCTGCTGACTCAAATACCTGTCAAACCCAGTGGACTAATTCAGGCCCTAAACTAATGGCTCATTTAGAAAAGATCTCATGAATAACCCAAACTGTCACATATAATAAATGTGACAACAGCTCAGATATGTTTAGGAGCCAAAGGAACAGCATGAAATTGTGTCAGGGGAGGGTTAGGCTGGATATTAGCAAAAGCTTCTTCCCCCAGAGGTGTCTGGGCACTGAACAGGGTTAGGTTGGATATCAGGACAAGGCTCTTCCCCCAGAGGTGTTTGGGCACGGAACAGGGTTGGGTTGGATATCAGGACAAGGTTCTTCCCCCAGAGGTGTCTGGGCACTGAACAGGGTTAGGTTGGATATCAGGACAAGGCTCTTCCCCCAGAGGTGTTTGGGCACGGAACAGGGTTGGGTTGGATATCAGGACAAGGTTCTTCCCCCAGAGGCGTTTGGGCACTGAACAGCTCCCAGGGCAGTGTCACAGCCCCAAGGCTGACAGAGCTCAGGAGTGTTTGGCCAATGCTCTCAGCACAGGGTGCAGTGTTGGGGTGTCCTGGGCAGGACCTGGAGCTGGACTGGTTGATGCTGGTGGGTCCCTTCCAGCTCAGGACATTGTATGATTCTATATTTTGAAGAATCTTGACTTCTCTGGAAGCATCCTTAGGAAACTGGAAGATAGTCAGCCATGTGCCTGGTCCTTGCTAACCCTCCTGCATGTGGCAGGGCCCAGGCAGAGGTGTGTCAGCTAACACTGCAGAGACTCATTAGAAATGAAAGTCAGCAAATGTATTTATTGGCATTCTGCAGGGATTTCTACAGCAACAAATTGCAGCCTTCTTGTTCCAAACCACTCACTTAGCTTGGGTACTTGCCTAAAATAATGATGGTATTTGGTCCGAGCAGGCATGAGAACACATATACTTACAGAATGAATTATTGCTAGGGAGATAATAGTGGAATTGGGCTGGATGTCTCCTGATTACAGCTCTCCTGAGGTATATGGGCTATGAGTAAGTTGTTGGCAAGCAATAGGAAAAATAAAACATCAAATGAAACTAACACTATAATAGCTCCATAACTTGAGGGAGGAGGGGAGAAGAGGAAACCCTCACTGCCTCCACTGGAAGGATGGAACTCCTCAGAGTATGAAATATATTATCAGACACTCGCAGGAAACTTCAATCCCTGACATGATGGCACCAGGAAAGACACTGTTTATAGATTTTTCTCCAGTTTCCACATTTTTCAGCATTTCAAAGGCTTTTCCTAAAAGAATAATCTGATTTCTTAAAACAAACCCCTGGATTCTGAACTCTCCATCAGGTTTTTTTCCTTTTTCCCACAGGGGAGCCAGATTTCATCAAGGAGAACACCCAGCAGCTGGTACTGAAGTGCACATTTGCTGCTGAGTGCTCTGTGCTTTGGAAAAAAATTATAAATCAGGGCCGAAACAAAGTCTTAATTGCTCTAATAGACATGTGGAGTGATGCCAGAGGGATCAGTGGAGTTACCTGTTACCATCAGTGCTCCCAAACCAGGTGCCCAAACATGGACCCAGACTCTGAGCTTAGCAGCTCCTTGCTGCAGTACACAAATTTTTGGTGTTTGATTGCTGCTCTTCAAGACTTTGTTTCAGAAGTTTTTAGCACAAAAGAATTACCACTTACATAGGAGCAAGAAGTATCTTAAAATCTCAGACATGTCTACCTACAGTATTTCCTTTCCAAAATGCCATTTTTTTCCCCAAGAGGCTTTACAAGCTTCACTAGCCTCAGAGCTGCCATACTCAAAGCCAAAGAAAAATCAGGAATATATTCTCTTTTACCTCTTTTTCATTGCCAGTTATCATTTCCCACGTGCCATAGTGGCCTTTCTCCTGCCGGAAGAACTGAATGGCTTCTAAGAAAGCCTCAACTTCATACGTAGTCTGCTTGAGAAAATCTGCAGAAAACACAAAGCAACAAAGGATTGACCCATTAAGAACCTTTAAAAAATAACCCTCCTTTTTTTGATCCATTCTCCCATTCCACATCCATCTAGCAGTGACACTTTTAAATCATTTACTGAGCCTGAATGCCTGAAGACCTTTGAGCCTTCACTAGGAGTTGTTGGTCAGAAAGGGCCTTGGCAGTGCTGGTGGCATCAGCTGAGTGTGAGCCCAGTTACCATGTCCCTTTGCCTCAGTGTGGAGCAGCTCCCTGAGCAATGCCACTGCTGGACAAACCTGAGCAAGAAAAACCACTGCTGAAACACTTCAGGGACTGCAGTGCTGTGTCTTCACTATCAAACAGAGCTTCAGGATTCTTATCTCCAGGGAAAGACAAAGCCACCATGGTTTATCAGCTCTCTTCAAGGTTATCTACTGCAACCTTGATCAGCTGAAATCCTGTTGTGCACACTTAGGAAGAAAGCAGGGAAGAACAGGAATGCTAATTCTCTCAGGGGTAATTATGCTGCTTTAGAAGTTACAGATACTGTAAACAATTGTGATGTGAAGAGTCAGGGACTCAGTCCTCAAGCCTTGCTTGTCAAGCAACACTCTTCTTTTGTCTTGTTCAGGAAACTTCTGAAGAGAGAAGCTTTGCAGGAGACTTGCATAAATGCCCAGGGCAATACAGGGATTATACAAATTATGGGAAACATGGAGGATTAATACTGCTGTAATTCCTGAAATGTCTCCTTTATGTGTTTTACACAAAACCAAAACCTACAGAAACCTACAATTACTTTCATCAAGGCTTCATCCTCAAAGCTTGAAAATGACTGCTTGAAAACAGCTTGAAAACAGCACTGTAGGGATTTCACCTCCGTGGCAGGCAAGGAGGTTTCAGATGTGCTCAGAGCCCAAATGTCAGAGTTTGCCCTTTCAGGGGTTCCCTGGCTGCAGTAAGGACTGCAGGAAGGTATGTAAGACACACTGAGTGGCACCAAACACTCTCCAGATAGCCTCCCTGATCTGCAGATATTTGGAGGTCAAGAGGAATGAATGGCACAATTTCTTCAAGCTCATATGATGATCAGACAAGAGAACATCAGCCAGGTAAAATCCCAAGCCTACTTTCACTGCTACCTCCATGATTTACAGCATTTGTCACAGCAACTCACAACCAGGATGCTAAAATATCAGTAAGGGTTGTAAATCAGGCTGTTCACTGCCAAGGGAACATCCTCTGACCACAGCTTCAATGAAAGCCTGGAGTGTTCCACCTGAGAAACTGGTTGTGTTGTGTCTGAGAGCTTCTGTCCTCCCCAAATCAAACTGAACATTTTGCTGAGGAGAGGGCTGGGCTTGGCTGAAGGAAGGGAGAACTGCAGCCCCACAGCTTGTGACTCACATGTTTTCCTTCTTCACAGCTGTGCTCCCTCCTAACCCAAAGGGACCCCAGCCCATCCAAAGGGCTGGATCTTGGAGCTGCTGAGATGATGATGTGCCAGTGCTGACAAGAGTCTGCCCTCTAAGATCAGCAAGTTTTAAACTCCATGCTCAAGGGAGTATTTTCTCTCTGTTCTGATTGTCCCCAGGCCCACAGAGCAGTGTGAGGAAGGTGCTAAAAATCCAAGTGATTCATTGGAATAGTTCATGGGAAAAACATCAAGCTGTAAGTGCCATAAAATCCTAATCACACATTCTTTCCAAGGCCAGTAAACACAAGAGACAAACACAATTATGGCAGTCTTGCTACAAACACAGCTCAAAGGAGAAAGGAAGCTTTATCCTTCAAGGCTACTACAATTGCTTAATTTAGGCAATTTCATTCTCACTTTCCATAGGAGGAAAAGATTGTGTCAGTGACTGAAGAACTACATCCATCCAGCCTTGGGCTGTGCAGAAGCTGTTGGTGAGGCACATGAGACAGAGGCACATTCATGGGATAGGGCTCAAGAAAAGGGAATTGTGCCCAAGCTGAAAGGAGCTGTGGTGTACATCCTCCACGACTCCAGCAGGGAAAAGCCAGAACTTCTGTCCATGAGATGCAGTGGTTTGTGGGAAGGCTGGAGCATGGTGGCTGTTGGCAGCCACAGCACAGAAGGGAAACAATGAGTAAGCTGTTGGGGTAGCCCTGATTGCGTGCAAGAGAGCGTTCGGTGCGTGGGAGATGGGAGCTCAGATGCTGCAGCTGCAGATGGGGCAGGTGGCAAACCCCAGTGGTGCCAGGAACAACTGATCACCAGGAGAAAGGATGACGTGTGTCCCTCTCCTAACACCCTCCCAGGGGCTTCCCCTCCTGCAAATGGGGCTGAACCTCTCATCAGGGATCCATCTGTCCTGCTTTGGAGGGATGGAGCACCTCAGGGGAGCTTGGTCCAGAGGTGGCTGTAGGTCTTCCTCACCCAACTGCCACACAAAGCCATAAAGTTTCCTGAATGTCCTCCAGCAAAAGGCCAAAGAGGCTTTACAGGTACCCAGCCTGATGCTGTGTGCTTACCCCAGGCTGCTCTGCACTTGGAAAATCACCCAAGCAGCTTCTTCAGCTGCTAATGAATGTAACATGCTCTTATTTGTGGAGATTAAAACAAAATTCTGTCTGTCCTGCTTAATTTTGGAATGAGACAACCCACACAGACTCTATATATGCAAGTGGAGCCCAATTACAACTGAGATTCCTAAACACAACATAGCAATTGATATAAAGCTCCTTTGGAAAAGCTGGAAGGACATCTGGAAGCACGATGACTTTATAAATCTTCCCAAAATTGCTCACCTCTCAAAGGCTCAGTTTGTCCAGGACTGCAGAAAGCTCTGTAGGAATGAGCTTCTCTGTAGCATAAAAACAGATTCAGTTTCTCTTTCAGAAAAGTATTATCTCAAACCTTAACAAAATGATACCCAGAGCACCAGGCTGCTCAACACCCACTGAGAGCACCTGCACCTGGTGCAGCAGTGTTCACTCAGAGGATCCTGTTCCCAATTCCAGCTGTATCCAAGGTTTGACTGCTGTGGGACCTGCAGTCTCCTAACGAGGTGCCCCAGGCCATGAGCTGCAGCTCCTCCTGTCACTTGGCAGGTGAGTGTTTGGTGAGGAAGGAGGAAATCTGCAGCCCCAGGTTCCTGTGTGCTCTCCCACCCAGGGCAGGACAGCTGCACCTTTGTTTGGAGATGGATGTGTTGCTGGCACATGGTTAAAGCCCCTTGGGATAGGCTCTCCAGACAACTTCTCTGACTCACCAACACTTCTCTGTGTCTAAAGACAGCAGTGGAAATTAATTGCCCTGGCGAATTTGACCTTGTCCGTGGCCATAGATCAACCAGTCTTACATCAGTCAAAACACTGAGGAGCTCTGTGCAAACCCCTCTATAAATAGGCCTTGTTCCCAGAGAGGATGAGTGCCACAACTGCCTCTGGCTAAAACTCTGCATTTCCAGCAAATCCACATGATAGGAGAGCTGTATTTGAACGTTCCAGTCCAAACTGTGCATCTGTATGTACTGCAGGCTGCTGCACTGGGGCTACTGCTGAAGTTTAATCACTTAGAGGATGACTTTTCTTAATTACAGTCACGGGAAGATGCCTTTGTAACATGGAGCTGTTGAAAAGGAATTATTTCAATATCCAGCTTAAACGGAACAGCAGTTGTCATTAATGGCACTTGGGGATGTGGTTGAGTGGTGAACACAGTGGTGCTGGGTTAATGCTTGGACTTGATGATCTTTTCCAGCCATAGTGATTCTGTGATTGAATTCAAACTCATTATTGCAGCATGAAAGAGGCTAAAATGGTCATAAAATCATAGAATCATCAAGGTTGGAAGAGACCTGTAAGATCATTAAGTCCAACCATTAACCTGTCACTGCTGGAACCCCTAAACCATATCCTCCAGTGCCACATCAGACACCTCTGAAACACCTCCAGGGATGGTGACTGCACCACCTCCCTGGGCAATATCCAGTGCTGAACACCACAACAGGGAGAACATTTCTCCTCACATCCAATCTGACTCTGCCCTGGCTCAGCTCAAGGACATTCCCTCTATCCTTTCCCTGCAGCCCTGGCAGGACACACATCCCCCACCTCTCTCCAGCCCTGGCAGGAGATGCAGAGAGCCAGGAGGTCACCCCTGAGCCTCTTCTCCAGGCTAAACAAATCCAACTGCCTCAGCCCTTGCCCATGTGCTCTAGCCCTTTGCTGCCTTCGTTGCCCTTGGCTAGACTCGCACTTGCCCCTTACAACAAGTCAAGTCTTCATGGGCACAGCAGCAGAGCTCACTGCTGTCCTGCTCATGCAGCCACATGGCCCAGCCTGTGTTTGGGAAGGGCAGGGAAAAGTTCCTCCAGCTCAGATGCAATAACCAGACAGTGAGAACTTTCCACCTCCCAGGATGGATGGGGTGGTTTCTCTGCTAAGACACCAGTGGGTCAGAGTTCCCTCCTGCCTCTTGGCTCCTCCTGCAAACAGGGACTCATTGCATTTTGGCCACAGCAGCAGCATTACTGTGCTGAACTGCTCACAGAGCCAAGGAGCTGCAGTTGGGATGGTTTATGATGTGCAAACACTGAGTATGTCATTGTTCAAAACAAACTGAGTGCTCCTAGTGCAATCCAGCAAATGTCCTTCTCCCATATGGTTTTTTCTTACACTAAGTGTACTACTTCTGTTGTTAATAACACTGAAGGGTCACACTTAGTGTGGATAAAGTACTTTACCAAAGTGAGCTAAACTGCAGAGAGCAACCTCAGCTTTTTGGCTGACATTTCAGAAAGGCTGAGGCCCAGGGATGGAGATGACCAGGAGTTCAGGCAGAATCCAGCAGTGTGAGCTCACAGAGCACGGGTTTGAGTTAGAGAAACGCTGACTCTGACCTAACCCCCATCCTCTGGTCACCACTGCTCGGAAGCAATCGACCCCAGCTCCGTCTGCTTCCTGCACCACTCACAGCCACAGGCTGCTGAGACACTCTGCACTCAGTGAACATTATTTTCCACAGGGTCCCTGTGTTCTTCC